TGCAATGAGTCCAGAAAAAACAGATTTTCACTGACCGTACAGCACCAGCATTTGCACCTCCTCTTCTTCACAGGAGTCAGGAACACAAACACCCACAAAGTACTGGACTGTTCCCTACAGTAGTAAAAACACTTTGTTCAAAATCACCTACTATAACCAACTGCCAGGATGACAAACAAATATTTTCTGGTTACCTGTCTAAGGAACACCTGGCAGTACTGTCCAGAGAAGGTAGGAGCATGGGCAGAGCGACACAGCTGCAGCAAGCCAGGCCGGTTGACATTACCTCCTTCAACATTGCTACCCATCTTTCCAAATGCATCATACACTGAAAATACACACACACACACACACACACACACACACACACACACACACACACACACACACCAAACAGCAATGCAACTTAGACTTGCAAAGAACACAACACAACACAACACAGTCCCTTTGGATAAAAAGAGAGCCTTATTAAAATAAAACATGTCAAATTAATATTGATGCTTGATTGTGATTGCACAACAAGGGTGCTGTCTACTTTCCTTGGTTCAAGAGTATCAATTTTGGTGACTCTTTCTAACCCTTTTAAAGTTAAGACAAATTCAAACTCCTTGCACTTACTATTTTAGACTATAAGTGGGACAATGTGTTGTGATAATTAATGATAATGATAATTAGTCATTAGCTTTTATCCAAAGCGATTTACAATTTACAATTACAATTGCTATGTATGTCAGAGGTTGCACGCCTCTGGAGAAACAAGGGGTTAAGTGTCTTGTTGCAGGCTATTGGCTAATCAAGGGCCAGATGTCATGCAGCATAAATTAAGTTTTCACTTTCAGTTACTGCCACTCACATTTTAAAATGTCATTGACACATAACACACACGTTATTTCTTCCCGATTTTTTCCATCTAGTCGCCTCAATTGAGTGAAACAGCGCCTCTATGGGTTGTAACGGCCGGTCTATGAAATCCAGCCAATGTGGCCAAAAACGGCGTTGCACCCATACGGAAAGGCAGATAGGTGAAGGTGGCATATAATTTGAACACTAGTTAGCTTAAGTATGAAACAATCAGATGTGGTCACTATGACTTTATATTTTAAAACTGTGAAATATCAGGTCTCCGTTAAATAAACTTTAAAAGTTAAAAGTAAATATTGAAGGCAGTTATGGTCTGGCCTCACAACAAACAGCAGAGACTTAAATGAACGAAAAGTTCGCTTGTTTTTAATAATTAATAATTGCTAGCTAACTTTACCGTGTTTTTGTGAGACAAGCTTGTTTTATACAGTCTATGGAGACAAGTTAGCTAGCAGCTAGATAAAGAGGAGACCAGGAGTTCTGTTAGCAAAAAACTTAATGACCATCTGAGCAACAAGTGTAAAGGACATTACAGTGTATGACATGGATGTGGAGTACTTCATATTCATGGTAAGTCAGATACACCCGCTGTCTGTCTCATTTTATTTCATTTCATCTTCACTTTAGCTGTGTTATTATAGTGTGCAGTTACAGTGATAGAGCTTGCAAAATATTATAATAATTATTCCATTTAATGTTAACTGACAGTTTGTTCGTTTACCTGTATAGTGTTTGTAGCCTAATTTGTGAATAAGCTTGAGAAATTATGCTACTTCCTTCTGAGAATTAATTATTAATTAATTAATTTAGTTTTTGTAAAGCTGTTCTGTATAATACTACTAATAATGAGGATGTACTTTATTTGTATAGCACTTTAATATAGAAAATGTATCTCAAAGTGCTTGTAGAAAGCTAAAATAAAATCAGACCATTTAAAGAATAATTAATATACATTTTAAACTGAGGAAGGATGTAAAATAAAGAGTTTAAACATTCAAATAATAAGAATAGAACAATATTATTCATATTAATAATTATAATACTAAATATCATTGGTTTAGTTAGCAATATATTATTATTATTATTATTATTATGTAGGCAATTTGTGTAGGCCTACATCTAGATGGATAAGACACAGTAAGTCATGTATTTGATACTTTTTGATGTGAATGTGAACTTACATTTTTTTAAGCTTTTAAGTATGTAACTGTATATGTTTTGTATTGAAGAAAAAATATATGTGCATTGTTTTTTTTGTTGTTGTTTATTTTAAGTGAACATAAGTCTTTCATCTAAAAGCTGTTAAAATGCTGTTTGCTGCATTACACCACAGTCGAAAGGTACTAATCTGCTATTGTAATGTTTTATAGCTGTTTTCTTTAGATGGCATGATTTGACTTGGGTTCTGATCCACTCCATGGCTATAATGAGCTTAGTTTCAACTTAATATAACTGGCCCCTCTAAAAGAACAGCTGGTTCCAGTTTCGACTCTGTAGACTCCCTAGTGTCTCTACAACTTAAAACAGTGAGAAAAAGCCTTTCAAAGGTCAGCAACACTTACTGGAAACAGCATATTCCTTCGGTCGGTCCTGGTTAATTTCCCAGAGGAACGCATCGTTATCCTCCATACATCTTTGAGACACATTCAAGGCCTGTATATTTTCCAGCACTACACTAAACGCTGCAAACAGAAGGAATGCCACCCAACCCAGGGCCATTTTTTTAGGACTGACTACATCTTGTTAGTGGAGAAGGTGTTTAAATAACATAGGAAGGGACACATCATCATCAAGAAGGTAGCGTAAAATTCATCTTGCACAGGATAGATTGAACAAATACGGGTCTTCACCACCTGCATTCTATATCAGGTGTGAACAGGATTCTGTTACATGAGGATGAGAGGCTGTGATTATGTCACCACACAGGATCAATATAATTAGGCTGGAGTGCAGTAAGTCATTGTCAGGTTGTTGCCCCATCACTGGAACATTTACCGCTGGAACAGCAGATGTTTCCTAGTAGTATCAGTCTGATTTTGTATACAAAGTTACAAGTTAGTGAGTTACAATTACTTTTATGTTTACTTATTTATAACATTTACATTAGTTTTTACTGTAACCATTTTTCTCAAGCTAAAATAAGGGAGAAGCAACGCCTGCAGACAGTAATGTGAATAAATCAGCAATGGCCGCTAGAGGGTGAGCTTGTCCTAAAAACCTACACAATGTGAGGGAAACAATTTATACATATTCAGCATGATGCATCTAAATTCTGATTTAATGTTTGCTCCTGCTACAGAGAGATCATCTCCATGAGCCATTTTACGATGAACAAAGTATTTGTACATTGAGTCTCTGTCTTAAAGAGCAGGTTTTGCAGTCCAGGGTGTGTTATATTACAGATGTAGGTGGAAGGTGGTTGAGGTTGATTGTGGGTGCACAAAGCACAGGACTTTTAACACTAGAGACGTCTTGTTTCCCCTCATGTAGTTTAGTAAAACACTTTGCTTAAAGTGACATTAATTTTTTCTACCTTGTCAAGATTTTTTTGGCCAATTGGAGGCACACAGCTCTAAACACAACACTGACTGACATAGTATTACCTTATAAGGTTGGTATGGCAAAGTTCAAGTACAGACAGTAACTATCAGAGGATTATTTTAATACAGAAGAAAACTTAAATATGTGATGATTCTCAGGCAAGTTCTGGAGCTGTACGGAGCTTTTACCACCATTGTGATTTCCAAGCAGATTTATGGATCACAGAGGTAAAGATGTCCTCAGAAAGAGCAAGCCAACAGTGAATCTATAAATATGTGTCAGTGTCAGATCTGTTGGCTGTTTGGTGCTGGCCAGGTAGAGTACAGTGGGTTTATCAGAGCCTTTTTGGGTCAGTGAGAGCTGATTGGATGGATGGATGGATGGAGGGCTAAAATGAGATCAGGATTGTCAAGTTGCATGTTGATAGTCTATCCAAATCAGCTTAGTATTTCATTAACAAAATCTGTAAGGAGATGACAAAGACACTAAAACCAAAGTATAAACCTCCATTGAGACTTTAATCAAGGACTGGTTCCAGTTGAGAACCGGTTCCAAATTAAACAGCAGTTAAAACAGTGGAGCTTTTGCACACCTGAGTCACATGCGGGCCGTTTTCTACTCTGTTTCTACACAGTGTTCAGACTCTAATATAATACAACAGTTGCGTTGATGCTGAAAATCTGTCAAGGCCTTGCCTACTTTTTTCCACACAGAAAATTGATCAAGGAATTAAGGAGAACCGATAATGGCATTGGTATTAATAAAATCTTATCAATTCTCTTAAGTATTTAGACTTCAACCTTCATAGTAATAATGATCCATGACACAAACAGCTCTAAGCAAAAGCATGAGTTTGAACGATCAGGAGAGGATTCCTGACATATTTCCTTAGAGAAGAGCTGATGTCTCGTGTGCAAGTCGACATCAGATCTTGCCCCTGCAGGTTTTATTATTTATTGACATAAAGAACAGCTTTGTACACAACATCAGAAATATCTAAAAACAGCAGCAGCAGCAAAACACATTCAATTCAACAAACAATTCACAGACTGTTTCTCACATGCAGTTTTACAGCGCAAAACAGTTAAAGTCTTAATGTCGGAATAGAAAAACTACTGTCCAAAGCTGAATGATATATTTTGGAAATGCTTGGAACGAAGAAAGTAATGGAAAACAGTTATTGTTCATTCAATTAAACTAGTTGTCTTGTATAAATCATTCAGTTTCACAGCAAGTTTACATTCGTAGACATTTTTCTTCAGTTATGATGTTTTCCCCAGTGTTATTCCTATCGTGAACATTCATTAAGAACTGAACTGAAGAAACAAGACAGAAAATGATAATGTTTTATGAAATACAGGGTCGTTACAATTTTATTTTTATTGTGCTGCAACAACAGATGAACTATGCTGTAAAGAAGACCACTGTTAAATAAAAGGCAAGTGCTATTTATCATATATTTAAAATATTCAGGTAAATACACTTTTTTGGAGTGTAATCACAAAGAGCTGCCATATATATATTAAGACACGAATGAAAAAATTTCACAATCCTTTACAAAATATTTTTAAAAGAAAATTCTAATTTGGCCCTATATTTGTCTTTAAAAGACTCCTTTTTCTGATGTTAAATGCTTGAGATAATTATAAAAAATTTGCTTTATAATAATTTTGATTGTGTATGTATTTGATATGTCAGTGATAATAACTCGACATGGTGGTTTGCTGAAACAGCTGAAATCAAGCTTCATCTTTGTCTGATTGTCTGCAATCTTCTGCTATTACATGTAATTTCAGCTCAAAATGAATGCAGAGATTTTGTTTTAGGATCAGTAGTTTCATGATGTAGTGGAAGGAGACCAGAGCCAGGGTTTGTTGAAGAAGCCAAGGCGGGCTCAGAGAGAAATATAAGTTATCCATGAAATAAAAACAAAATAAGAATGTTTTATGCTAATCTTCTATTCATCTTTCAACTTGAAATTGAAGACCTCAGTTAGGGGTAACATATTTTATAATGGGGAAACCTTAGGCTTCCAGTGGTTTTATATACTTTATGTATTTGTTTTCATCTTTCAGACATTCGTTGGACATTAGCAGCATTGAAAATTCATAACACTGCTGACTGTATGAGGATTAATCCCATAACAACAATATATTCATACATTATCTAGTCCTAGTGAGAAGACAACAATGGAGACTGTTTAAAATAAAAAAGCTCTTCTATAAAAAAGATCTAGTCAAGGCCTCTAGAAACATCTATGTGTGTACAAAAAACTATCTTATTCAATTTACTTAACATTTATTACATATCTTTGTGTGTATACTGGATACATATGGTAGTACCCTACATGTACATTATGTATATGCATGACTACAGCCAAGTGAGATACTGTAGGTTGTCTGCAACAATTTAACAAACTGTATATGTTTAAAACAATAGTGTTTGCTTTAGATGGAATGGTTTCAAAGTGTGTTCCTCTCACTTCTCAGCCAGTCTCTTAGATTTTATGAACGCCATCCCATGTGTCCTCATGTGAGTATTCAGGTTTCCCTCCGTTTCAAACGTCTTTCCACACACTTTGCACTTGGTATTTGGTGTCCCGTCATTGTTCTCGTCCGTAACATCTAGCTGGTTCTCTCTCCGACTCTCATCGTCGTCCTTGCCCAGTCCGTTGTTTCGAGTGAGACCATGTGGCTCCTTCAGCCGGTGGACGATAAAGAGGTGTCGGGCCAGCGAGCGATGGGAGGTGTAGCACAGGCCGCATTCCTGACACTGGTAGGACGAGCCATCAGACTTGTGCTGGGGAATGTGTTCATGGAAAGCCGCAATGTCCTCAGTGGTGATGCCACAGACAGCACACTTGTGAACTTTAAGGATGTTTACCTTGAGCCTCTTCAACGGCTGTGAGTCGGGGCCCCTTGTGTTCAAGCCTGGAGACCCCTCATCGTCTTCTGGCTTCCTTTTGGGGCTAAGGGTCTGTAGAGGAGATTAAAATGATCGATTAGGAATGACAGAAGAACCATGACATTGACTTGTAAGGTGAAAAGCTTTACAAGGAGCACTTCCACCTTATAAATGTATGTCCACAAACTTGTGTCGCAGTACCGTTTTCTTGTCAGTTGAAGCCTTCACATTATCAGAGTTGACAGTATTCCCCTCTGGATCTTTGACTCTGTGCATCAGCTGAATGTGCTGATCCAGCAGCACTCTTTTAGTGAACGGCTGACTGAGAGTTGGACAGTGCCTGTCAAAGTACAATAAAATAACAATTATAACCCCTTGCAAGCTGATTTTGTTGTCTGTTATTTGCATAAATACAATTTGCTTTTATTTTTATTACTATTAAAGGCTACTGTGGGTTTTCACTTTGACTGTATGTAAGCAAGGTAAAGCAGGATTCTTATGCCGGTCTTCGCAAACTTGCACTCGCTCCCCCAAACCTTCACAATTATGTAATTGGGGCTGTTCTATGGACCCATGGCATGCCTCTTGAAATTTGATACATCACAGTATGCAGCTGCGTGGACTGCGTGTGGCTCCTTAATGTTAATTGGCTTATTGGTCTGTGGTACTCTCGAGCTAATCCCCTTCTCTTCTGCCTCCTTAAAACAGTAACACATGTACTTTAAAGCGACAAAGCCCTGTCTGTCTGTCAGGAGCATAAGAGGAAGTAGTGGAACCACAAAATCCACAACGAGGGAGGAGGTTAGGGTGGATGGATGGGTTAGCAAAACACAGGAGACTGAAGTTTGTTTCCCGTTTCCTACAGTCAATGTTGGTTTCCAATCATGACAGCTATTGTTTGCTAACCGTGTGGTTACCACCATAATAGCAAAGGTCTCCTATCCTTAACCAAGAAGGTTACATTAACCCCAAACATGATATTTCCCTAACTAAGTTATTCTTGTGCCCAAACCTAATAGGGCTGTACTAAATGTCATTTTTTTATATTTAAGGTTTTCAGTGAAGCATTATATTTGGTACAGCCCTAAAACCTAACCAATGGTTTTACAAACAGTGTCTTGTCAATAGTGGCATTAGATCACAAATCTCTTGTATGTGTTGTTCTGTAGGGAACGGACCAACAACATTTTTTGTAGTTCAATTTGGAGGACTTGTTGTCAAAAACACAGTTGGTGTGAGTACTCACGGGCAGGTGTAGACCTTCCGCAGGCCTTTGTGTTTGAGACGGTTGTGTCGGCAAAGACTGTGGGAAGAGCTGAAGGATTTGTCACACTGTCGACATGGGTGTTTCTTCAGTATCTGCAATATAAAGCATAATTCATATTTGCAGCAATGGATCTTTCTACTCAAGTGAGAGTTTTTATTCCACTTTATACTTCTCTCCACTACATTTTATAAGAAATTATTTTACTTTTTACTCCAATTATTTGACAGTTATAGCTAAAATAAAAATGAAATATGATACCTTGTTAAAGATTGAACTATCCAGTATTATATAATTGGAGCTGAAATAATAAGTTGATTAATCAGTTACTTAGTTGATTGACAGAAAATATGTTTAGAAACAGTTTAGATGAACAGTTAAGTCGTTTTTCATGCAGAAATGTCAAACTTTTAATGGTCCACCTTGTCAAATGTGAAGATTTGCAGCTTTTTCTTGTAGTAATTTTACTTATTTCATTTATTTATTTGTCAAATAGTTGGACAACAAACAATGTCAAGTTTGGGCTCTAGGTGGCACCTGTGGTGGACACGTGTCATTATTTTCTTCATTTTTACTTACTAAACAATCAATCTATAACAAAAATAATCATTAGTTGGCAGCCTTATATAAAACCGGTAAAATGAGCTCCATTTCAACCAACAGTGAAGTGCTGCTTACACAATAATTCATCAGTAATAATAATCTAATGACATAATATATACTAACAATCACAGCGGCAATTTTCTGCATTGAGTACTTTTGATATTTTCAGTACATTTTCCTGTTTATACTAATGTAACATTTTAATGCAAGTCTTTTACTTATAATGAAGTATTTTACAGTGTGGTGTTTGTCATTTTAATTAAGTAAAGCATCTAAATGCTTCCTCCATCACTGCACGACCACTATACCGGACTCCCTTGTAAAGGAGACTGTGTCTCAATGGGACTTTCCTGTTAAAATAAAGGTTAAATAAAAAAAAACACATAAAGCATTGACTCTAAATTTTCCTAATGTGTGCTCTCTTAGCAACTGAAAGCAGAATCTCCAAAAAATTACTGTGTGACATATTGGAGACTTCCTAATGAGAAGTATTCACCTTGCCATGTTCGCGCCTCATGTGAGCCACGAAGACCTCCCTGGAGCTGAAGAGGGTATTGCAGTCTTCACATGTGTATCCTGAGCTCGCAGGGTTCTTGAAGTCTGCTGAGCAATTACTGTTTGTTTTCTTTATTGGTGAAGGCTTCTTTTCTCCCTTGTCTTGACCAATGACATTTCCTCCATCTTTATTATTAGTATTGTTATTGGGGGTGTTGCTGTTTGTACTGTTGGAGTTAGTTGGCTTGGTGCTGAGGGGGAGGTTGATGCCCAAGTTTGGTGGACCCTCGATGGTCTTCAGTGTTCCATGGATGACCTGGAAATGATTCACAGATTGAATTGAAAGTTAGGATTTATTAAGCACTGCTATGTGAAAATTTCTAGACTAAACTTATTAGTATGACTCATGAGATTAGCCTTGAATATTGAAATAAGTCGGGATACATAAAAAGTGTATATCATTATCAAGCATGCCTTAAATAACTACATATTATGCCCACCTTGATATGGTCCAACATGAGCTGTTTCTGTGCAAAGTGCAAGGAGCAGTCTGGACATTTGAACACTGAAACTTTATGATTAACAATGTGCTGGTCGAAGTGTGTGCAGAGCAGGGACTGCAAAGTGAACACGGTGTCACACATGGAACACTTATATATCACCCTGAAAGACAGAAAAAAAAACTGACGTTAAAACTGGGTTCACTGCAAAATATAAGAGACTTAATTTAAATACAAAGAAATGAAATGTAAAGTGTGTATGAAGAGAATTCCAGCAGTTATTGCAAATGAAACATTAAGTTTCAGTTGTATTGTTTCACCTATTATCTTTATCTCTGTAATTTTAGATACACATAATCAATCATACTGAAACAGACGGTTCAGTACTTTGAATATTGTTTCACATCAGATGTTTATTTAGCTTTAAGCTTGGGGAACAGCAAGGGCCAAACCTACCCAATGGTACAAGAACACCTGCTCCTCAGCACCTGTAGTAGTGCTGATGATGGACAGTGTGTAAGTCAGTGAAAGGTTCTCATGTGGAAAAAAACAAACCCAAGTTAAGCCACCATGTCTAAAACCCACAAATCCTGCTACTGATGAAGCAGCAAGGATAATCTTTCTTAGAAAAATGAATTGGACATAGGTATTAGGTTATATGTGTGTCTGTGTGGAAGGAAGAGCGTTTAAATGTGTGTTGATGTGTGTGTGGGGTCGACAATTCTTTGAGGGAAAGGCTTGCTTATTATTATGTGCATGTCATTTTTATTGTAAATATTTAAATTTAAATTAGCATTGAATCAAATTTTGTGTATTTCATATACACTTGCAACAATATTAGCAATATACTTTGCTGTCTTTAAGAGATTATAAAACTAAAATAATTTTGGATTAATTAGCATTTTAACTAACTTGTCCACAGTGTTTTTGATTGTAGATGCAGCATGTTAAGACTTACTTGGGCTCTCCTGTCTTCATTCCTGGATGCTGTGTGTTGGCATGGGAGTGCGTTCCAGGCGCAGACTTGAAGGCCATGGGGCAGAGAGGACATTTGTAGAAGACCTCACAGTGAGTACTCTGGATGTGGGATTTTACAGTTGCAACATCAGCGAAGATCACACTACAGTGGATACAGCTGGAGGGAGGAATAGGAAAGGAGTTTGAAAAAGTCTGATTTCAATAAGATTTTAACTGTAAAAGTCAGTTTAACTTCCTTTGGATGGAAGCGCTTTAGTGTTTCTAATTTAAGATTGTCTGTTTTAATTTACTTGAGAGTCTTGCATGCTGGTCAGAACAGGACTGATGGGATCAAAACTATGAGAGACTTTTCTTGGGAAATACTCAGATTCGCTTTATTGTCGAGGGTCAGATAAATAAGACTGAGACCACTTCCTTGACTGTCCATTAAATATCAAGTTACAGAGATGGTTAGCTTAGCTTAGCTTAGCACAAAGACTAGGAACAAGGGGAAACAGCTAGTCTGGTTCTACCAACACCTGTGAAGCTCACTAATTAGGACGTACTATCTTGTTTGTATTTGGATGATTTTTACCTTTGAACAGAGCCAGGCAAGCTTAATAAGCTAAGCAAACAGTCTGCAGACTCTGCAGACAACACTGCAGATTTTAACTTTGAAACAAGATGTTAATTTCATAACATTTTTATAGACCAGACTCATAATTAAACCATAATTGGTAAGATACTGAGTTTTTAGTTTTAATGGCTTGTATCTTGGGTAACTCATACTATGACTGTACATTTTCTCCCATAACTTTCATCACTTCCTTGTCAAGCTAGGGCAAACATAATGTAACAACTGTAATTATAAATGTGATTAGAAGTAACAATTTGAATAAAGAGGAAGAGACCTTTAAGTCTGAGAATAGCCACTTACAATGAACGAACACTGCTCCAAATCAAAAAATCAGGGTATTAACAGAGAAAAAAGTTGGGAAATTAAAGTTGAACATTGGGAACCATATCTCAGAACATTGGGATATCTCAGAACATTGGGAACCATATCTCAGGTCAAGGGAAGACTAACAAATAATAATGTAATGATTTAGTTGAAGTAGACTGACCGGTAGCCGACTCTACGGGTGTAATGCAGGCAGTTCTTGGTGACATGTGACTGGAAGTGGACAGAACGGCAGCTGGCACCACACTCGGGGCAGATGTAAGGAGACTTGTGTTGGTGGATACGCTGGTGTGACAGAAAGCTGCACTGATTTGGGAGATGCATTTGGCAGATGGTGCATGTTTTCTAGAGACAGAGAGAAAGGAGGAGATAAAGAAAACCATTAATTGTTTTTATCATAGCACTTGCAATTATTGCACCAAGAATATGAGGGGTTATTGTTGCATGAACAATACTGTTATCCACTCTCCAATATACAGTGAAGAGTCGGATCAGCCAAATTACAAAAAAAACAACAGCTATCGTCACATCTAGAGATGTCTACTCACGTGGATAATTTTGGATATGTGCGCCTTAGAACTGAGAAATTACATTAACAAAAACTCAACAGTGACATGTCTTTTCAGAAAGAAAGTCCTGGTTACATAAACAGTTTTCTTTGGAACGGCCCTGGATATTTCAAAAGTTAAAATTTTGGCACTTAAAATAAGCAATAATGGACCTTTACACTGTACAAAGGGGTGGCATTAGCTCAGTCCATGACTTGGCTTGGGAACTGAGGGTCGCTGGTCACAGAGGTGTTTTCTCCCATTCAGTTTTCTTTAACTAAATCCTCAATGTTTCTTGACAACATAATCTTTAGCTTCCCCCCCACCGTTAATGGAGCTATGCTTGGTGATTGGATGTTTCTTGCTGAAATACACCTTGGGAGTAAATACCCACCTCCAAGTTTTTATCTTCACAATCTTGTACTTTGAACTTTTTATCAAAGAACATTTGCTACTGCAGTTGTTAATCTTTTATAGTGATGATTCAACCTATTGAGTTCCATGCCAATGTAAGCTGCAGAAGTGCTTGAACTATGAGTCACAAAACATTGTCATGGAGACAAATAGGACATTTATTTCTGGAACCAGTGGTTTTCAAAATAACTCCTCCCAACTTTAAAGCCCATGATACTGTGTTAATCAATATACTTCACCTTCAGAAATTAAATTGAACTATTTTATGTGTCAGTTCACACATTACATACCTGCCCACTGGACTCCTGTGGCTGTTGATAATGCATAGCTAGTGAGCTATCATCCTGAAATATTTCGTTACACTCCAAGCACTTGAGGCTGTGCCTGCAAAGCTTTGATGCATCATCCTCCAAGGGCATGGCTGCCCCAAGAGGAGCACTGCTTGGAGCTGAAATCACTGCAGTTTGGGACCCAACACCAGTAGCTCTTGCTGGGATTTGACTAGTGGGTGCTTGCGCTTGGGATGTGGAGCTGGTGCTAGTGATATTGAGTGGGCCTGAAGAGGGCGATGTGGTTATCATCTGATCTGCAGGGATGGGTTTTAGGATTAGATGTGAGCACTGCATAACAACCCCTTTATCTTTGTGGCCCCTGGCATGAGACAAGAGGCTGCATTTGTTGTAGAACACAAGACTTTTGGCACAGTGGTTGCAGGTGACCTCGATCCGCACGCTGCGACGTTCGTAGTGCTGTGCCAGACTCTTCTCAAGAGCAAATGAATCTCCACACTCCAGGCACTTGTAGCCACGTGAGGGTATAGAGATACAAGCTGAAGTTGGTGGAGAGAGGTTTGGGACATACACAGGGACAGGATTTATGCTACTCAGGACTTTATTGAAGGCGTCCACTACAGAGCTTTGAGTGCTAGTGAACACTTGAACCCTAGAGACTTTCTTTGAGGCCCGGCCAGCGAGAATTGTTTTCTGTTTGATTTGTGATTGTTGATGCTGTGGTTGTTTGGAAGAGGACAGGGCCTGTTGGAGATCACAGACAGCAGAGGATACAGTCTGAGGAAGAAGATTGAGGTTACTAAGATGGACTGTCTTTGGCACAATTTTGGCATTAGCCAGACTGGAGGCAGGTACCATGACAGTCTGTTGCTGGATGGCATTAGCAGCTTTCAAGATGGCACTGCTGGCACTTTGCACTGATGCAGCAGGGATTACTGTTGCTTTAACGGTGGTGTTGTTAGCTAGCTTCAGGTTGATGACTTGGGATCCACTTGTCTTGACTGCTGAGACAGGCAGGAAGGCAGTTGCCACAGGTTTAATAGTCATTTGCTTGGTTATTTCAATTGAAGGCCCTCCAGTGGTGGCCACTACTGTGGTTGACTGAGAGGATCTTGTTGGAGATGAAAAAGCTGCACTTGGGGTTGACATGACAGGTGGGCTATTCTCTCCTTTTCTCAGACCCTCAGCATCAAACTGTGGTAGAACTCGGGTGACAGTACGCTTGATCTGGCCGGATGAGGTCTTGATTGTTTTGATCCTGACTTTTGGGATGACCGCGGTGGTGTCTGTGCTTGAGGATGGGGAACCTTTGCTGCTAACCTCGCTGGTGACACTAGAGGGGCTGTCTGGTTGTCTTGTTAGCAGTCTCTTTGCAAATTCTAGGGCTGAATCCTGCTCTTGCGACTTCTCTGGAGCTCTGGGATTTTCATTGGCCTGGATGGATTCTTTCTGTGTTGTAGGAGAATCCAAGTCTGTAGGACTAACCTTTTTGGCACTGAGGGCTGCTATGGCTGCTATACAAGATGAAAGCTTTGCAGAGGACTTGGCTTTGACTTGAGACATACTGGACACATTAACAAGCCCTGATGGCTCTCCAGCCTCCTTGTACTCCTGACCTTCAGACTTGAGGGCAGTTTGCTTTAGTTCGTTCTTAGGCAAACTTGATTCAGGGGGGTCGTTAGACTTGTTCTTGTTTTGGTCTTGTTTTTGGTCTCTGTTTGCTCTGGGCTTAGAAACATTGTCCACTGATACAGGAGATTTGGGATTCTGGCCATCTCTCTTAGTAGTGGACATAAAGAATGATTGACCTCTCTGTTTGTCCATGGGGCTATCTACCTCAATTTTATCATCATCATCGAACTCTTCAGCACTGGAGATGGGGCTAAACTGATTAAAGGTAGATGATTGGTTGTTAACTGACAGTCCTTCCTCTCTGGGAGCTTTCCATCCATTCTTGGTGTAATGAGTACCTGGTGATATTGCATGCAAGAGTCCATTATAAAGTCCATTGCCAGAAAGGGGTAGGGAGGGGCATTGTTCATTCTTCTCTGACATTGTTCTGCCAAGCTCACTACTGTCTGTTTTTTGGGTGTTCTTAACAATGACACTAACGCCAATGTCATGTCCTGTTGAGGGGTTGTGGGGATCATCTTCATTTGTATTCACCGCACCACTGGATTGCTTTAGCTGTCCGTCATGATCATCATGGTGGCCAGATTCAATAGCCGCTTTAGGATCCACCATGTCAGGGATGTCAAAGGCTGCCAGCAGGTCATCGAAGTCTGGCGTCTTCATATCTCCCATGGTACTGCTCCGTTTCTGATGAGGAGATCACTTGGGGAACACAGATTAAATGGAGGAATAATGAGTAATGTAAGACATGTTTTCTACAGATTTTAACAATTTTTAATGATGTGTTCTTCAACCTGCTATAAGAGATCACATTTAGCAATGAAACTGTTCATAGTCTGTGTAGTAGTTACACTTGTATTGGATTAATTTAGAATCAGAATATTGTAGTGATGAAAAACAGAATTCAATATAATCACGTTCTTATTATTGCTGCTTTTACATACTGTCTTGTATGAGATGGTAAGAGAGCAAACAAAAATTGTTTACTTATTTCTCAGTGTTTCAAAATTCAGCATAGCAGATCAGAGATCAACACAGTGTACTGACACTGCTGTTCCCTTGTGATCTGGTGTTAAATTATCCTAGTCATGGCAATCTGTTTTAGATTATGAGATGTCTTGTGTGTATGATATTTGTTTTTTTTACTGACTGACATGGTAAGTCCATCTTTAGTCCCAAATGACATTTTTTCTCTTGGGGATGGACAATAACTAGGCAATTCATACTGAAAGCAGAATTTACTTAGGTTCAAAAGTGATAAATTGTTGAGGGCAATTCCATGTAATTCTCTCAAAATTTGGAAGCACACCTTTTCATACTGAATTTACATACAGGGTCGACAATAAAGACTAATGTTTCTGTAATATAACTGTGTTCATAAGTATTTCAGCTTTTGAGTTTTGATGAAGTTGTAGGGTGACTGGCAACAATGTAAAAATCTGTATTCCTACATTTTGTATGACAAAAGTATAAATAATCCTGTCTTAGCCAGAAAAGAAAATTAACATGCAAAGTTCTTCAAAGGTACAAATGTAATTGAATTTCTGGGATGATATGATGAAGTAGGCTGGATGTATGTTCCAGTCAGCATAAATTATTAATAGTGCCCTTTACATTTAAACACGTTTCTTAAAGTTGAGTTAATCACACACTGATTGCATGAGGCTATTTAGAAGTCCTGTTTATCGCTGTACTGTTGGATTTTAAATAAAAGAAGTCTTAAGCCCAATACAACACAATATACAGGTATGTACCTATATACTTATCAATATTGCCAAGCATGACCACAGAGCATTAGATCTAGGCTATATGTCTGATTGATTTATGTTATATTACGGACAAGAGTTAGATTATAGTCCAGATAAATGTAAAAGATCCAAATGTCCTGTGTGATTTATGTGATTAAACATAAAATATCTGACACGCCCCTACTGACGATTGTACACATTTATGGCTCAACATGCAAAGGGAAAAGAAAGGAAGGTAATTATAGTAATGATAAACAATAATGTGATGAAAAAAATCTGTTCTGATTAAAAGCATTAATTTTATACTTGCAAAATGTCACAAAGTAAAAAACATATAGGCATTATATTAAAGACTTGAGTTCATGAAAGTGGTCTCTCATTTATTGTGAGTGGGGAGGTTTCTGGCTATACACTAGTTACACTATGTTTCTGTATTACAAATGTATATATGCTTGAAAGAGTGACCAGCTTTGGCTGTTGCTCATTATATTTTTAAATAAGATGAGGTGGTAAGCATACGACATGTTCATTTTCAGTCCTGTTTCTGTGTTAAGTCCCTTTCAACAATACTGGAAAACTATTTTTTTTTTTAGAAATGTGGGAAAATGAAAGATCAACTTACTTGACATAATTTTAGGAGATATTTGCTCATTGTCATATTTAATGGTAATTAATTGCAATATGTACATATGTACCTATATTTTGTGAATTACAGTATGTTTTTTTGGTGGATTTGGGTCTAAGCACATAAATATTTCTTTTGTTTTTCAATTTCATGTTCCACCACATGGTGTGCCAGTGTCTACAAGCAGTACACCCGTGTGAACTACCATGTTAACCCTCACTGCTTTCTAGTGCATGATGTTTTATCAATGCATTAGCAGACTGAGCTTAGAGCTCCCTCCTTTTACATCTTCAGATCAAACTATGCAAGTTTAGTTGACCTACATACATACAAGAATGTACAATTAGTCCTAGTTATGCCTTATTCATCCTTATATTAGCTAACTTTATTGGGAACCCACATGCTGGTTCCCATGGGTGGTAGATGTGAAATTTTGATGACATTAAATAGGAGACAGTATACAAATGTGATAATTAAATGTATTTTACAATTTTTATAAGTTGCTGCTGGAAGACAAGGACCTGCATCATGTCCTGACTACACCAATAAGTTTCTCTGTTAAGTATATTTAAGTTATGTATATTTTCTGATTCAGGAGATGAATGGATCAGGTCCAAATAATTAGTACAATACAAAAGATGAGTTGTAATTTTAGTACTTTTTTTGAGTACTAAAATTACAACTCATCACAATGAGTTTTACATTCAGCAGACTGGCACTCGTCAGCTGGAGGGTGAATAAAACATGTAAACAAAAGACAACCAATATTCAAGATGTTTTTGTTTGTGAATTCTATAAGCAAAATGTTTTAGTAGTACAGTATTATTAAACATCAGAAATACTTTGCTTTCAGTGGGTTATAACTCTTGAAAAAAACAATCTTTATTTTTTTAATCGTGAACACTGCAAATAAAACATGATGGGACTGATATGCACTGTGTCTGATTGTATTAAGGGTGTTGGGGACAAAAGGCACAGCCATGGAGCTGCTCTGCTTGTACAGTACATGCAGTTAAACCAGTACTGCTCTTTGATCGAAATGCATGGCAAACGCATCTGCACACACAGAGACCCATATCTTGTCCTGTCTTTAGTTTCAAAAAGCAAAATTCTTAATCCAGATGTTGGGATGATTGTTACAATGAAGTAAACATAAAATGACAGAGAGAAACATGGTACGGAGAGAGAGGGCAGGCGAGAAATGCAAGGAGGGGAAAAATGGCTGCTGAGCTGTGTGAAGCTGCAGCAGAGAGAGAAAGGCCTGGTGGAAAGACAGCTAGTCACAGCCTTAGCAGCCTGACGTAGAAAGTAAATGAATGTTAAATACAGACAAAGATGAAAAATACACAACACACAACCAATCTCAGCAACAGCAGTTTAATAACATGCATCATTACCAGCTGAAATCCACACACTGTGTAAAAGACTGCTACAATCTCAGTAAAGTGAACGTAAAATAACAATGGTGGAAACATGCAAGAGCCACTCCTCACCCTCTTGCCTCCGTCCCCCTCCAGCCACTAGCCAAACCTTCCTTCCTTCCTTCCTTCCATCCTGTAACAAACACAGTCACAACACCACTAACCCACAAAGAAGACATCCAACCCACCCTGCCTGGGGGGGAAAGTCCTGTTTCTTCCTAACCAGGCAAAGGCCCAGAATACAGGGTCAGGTTACATCCAGGGATCTGGTGAGTGGTGGTGGTCCTGGTAAGGATCCTCCTTAGTCATTCTGTGCACCACTAGCAGCACACAGACATACAAACAGAGAGATCATGCTTCTGTGTGTGTGTGTGTGTGTGTGTGTGTGTGTGTGTTTGTTTGTGTGTGTGTGTGTGTGTGTGTGTGTGAGGCAGGCTCCCAGCCAGCCACGTCCCCCTGCCTTCGTCCCTTCCCGAATCTCCCTGCCCCCCTCATTATGAGCCGTGCTGTGTACCGACTTCTAGCAGCAGCAGCAGGAGCAGCAGCAGCAGCAGGAGCAGGGTCTGTGCCTGTGCCATCGTAGCCAGTGGCTGAGTAGTGAAGGGCTGCCATGGAGCAGCCTGGGCTATCACTATCCCTCAGTGGAACACAGAGACGGTATTGTTCCTGTCAGCCCTCGCGGCTGCCTCAAACCGGTTTCAGCTGGTTCCGGTCACCCAACATAAAGCCCTGTGCTGCAGTATGGCCTCAGAAACACACAGGCAGAAGCAGTATGCTCACCTCCCAGGAAACACTGCAACATTTTCCTCCATACTACATGTATATTGCCATAGATAGTTTTGGTGAAATAAGAACACACATTATTTTATAGACAGGTGGTAAGATGATTAAAGAAGAGTCACTACTCTGGTTGGTCTCAGTGCCATAAAATTAGGCCAAATAACAAACAACAAAAATTCACAAAAAGATGATGTTTGGGTGAGCACAGTTACCTGGACACATAATAAAACAGGACAATAGTAAAGAAAATGGGATAAATAATACAAACAATATAAACACAAATAGGTTACATGAGGTAAAATTTAACACATAAAGTAAAATGATGACTGATGACAGCAACTGATATTCAACATAATACATAAAGAAGAAGCAAATTTAGGTAACCATGATGGTAGAAGCAGCTCAGTCCGGTGCCTTGGCCTGTTTCTCAACCAGATCCCCCAGTGCTTTCACCCCCAGACACACTGGTAGTCTCTGAAAACTGAAAACTTCCAAGCAGCATTACACCCAGCACTGTGATATAAAGACAATCTGACATGGGCAACACAGGCCATTCATGCACCTCCCTCCACAGATTTCCATCAAACATATGCCACCCATGCCCACATATGCCACCACAGACACAAACATAAACATAAACATGCATGCTCATGCACATATAGAGGTAAATGTGGCATACCCTTTTTTCCCACTCTGAGAGAGGAAAAATCAGTCTTCCTGTCGAGGCCTCAGCACCAGCCTTTACTCAGCCCCAACCATTCCAGCCCCATCCTCCTCCTCCCCTCCCCCTCTTCCCACTCTCCTTCACTGGGTCAGTCCTAGATTTTAGTCCCAGTCCAGGCCTCGTTTTCTCCGGAAGCCCCCGCCACCACCACCACCACCATTACAGCCGTGCATGAAGGGACGGATGGAGAAAGGGGGCAGTGTTCAGCAGGCGAATCAGGCCTTTTGTCTATGTCTGTGCAGGGGGGTGAGGGGACTCTTCACTCTGGCTCTGGAGCAGAAGCAGCAGCAGCTGGTGCAGAGAGAGGAGAGAGAGAGGGAGAGTGAGAGAGAGGGAGACGGAGGCAGAGGGAGGCAAGGGAGATAGAGAGGAAAAAAAGGAAATGAGCAGGAGAAGAGTATGAAATGGGGTTGAATATATACACTTAGCTCATATTTTAGGCCTGTGCCATCGAGTGGGAAATGTTGGTTCAGGATTGTGTGAATAAACTAGTTTCAATCCTGCGCATTAAAAAAAAAATCCTGCACAATTTTCTTCAGGGATCAATATAATAATATTATATATTAATAAAATAATGTACAAATAGCCATGGCCTTTGTTTAGACCAAAGTGGCCACTTGCATGCTGTGTATGCCAAGGTCAACAAGTCTTGTGTCTGCTGTTCTGTTTTTTAAGATGGAAGTTTTGTAAATTTTGATGTCAATCCAGCTGCCTGTTTTACACACAAGTGCACAAGACAAATACCCACATGCATGCATATAAAGCACAAAGTAAAAGTATATGGCTACGTTTCAGTCTAAGATTGTATGACATAACACACACAGTAATGGTATCAGTTTCTCCTGCACGTGAAGAATTGTAAGCCATACTGTGACGGCCCCTCTGTAGGGTTTGTACTGCTGTTGGTGTGCTTTCTGTCTCCAGGGCTGCAGACCTGATTGACAGGTTAATCAGTGGCATGGGACACACCTGGGCCCAGTGTGCCCCATGCATATAAGCCAGAGCAGCACTCAGTCTTGGGTTGGACCTCCTCATCTCATGGTGTCCTTTGTTTGTTTGGTTTCTTGTCTTTGTTTTTACAGCACAACATCCATGCAGCACATTTTCGATTATTTTCTTATTAATAAATCACTTTGTTATTTGGTTTACCCGTGTGTCTCCCGTTTTTGTCCAGTCCATGAGCCAGGCTGTGACAATACCAAAGCTACTTCACAAATGCAAACACAAATGCAGGATTATCCTGATTCGATAATTTGTGTACAGCAATGTACAGACATCGAAATAACACGCTAACAACAAAGCAATCACAAAGTAACAAGATGGCATCACATTACAGTGCATGTGATAAACAACATAAGATCAATTGAAGTATTTCATAACCTACCTGGGAGACTGCAGACAGAGAGAGAGACTTTCAGCTGCTTAAGGTTGTCTCTCTTTGGCCTGCTACCGGTCCTTGACATCTGGCAGACCTTTCAAATGCAGCCAGATGAGTGCTGCAGCATACTAATTAGCCTTCATTATGAGGGACCTTGCCAGATTTACTGATTAGACAACACAAATGCATTTTACACACTGTAAGGCAGTTGGATTGGTGCATATATATTATAAAAGGCCCTCATGGCGCCTCCTGCCTCTCTACAGTGTGACTGATTTCAGTGCAGTAGAGGAGTCTGAGGTTGCCGGGCTCCCCACCCCGAACAGAGACACAGTCACATGACATCATGTTGTTTCCAGTCATGTCAGCTACAGGACACAAAGAGGAGCTGGTGTAAGCATGTCATTTCCCTCAAATTCCAGTTTCCTGCCAAGATAAAACTTTTAAGGGAAAAAGCATGGAACCTTTGGTTTGAATATTTCACACATAGCTTTTGATGAAGAATTGGAACAAGCTGCTACAGAATATAAATGTGATACTGTCACACAATGTGGAATAAGATGCTTTTAAAAACCTTAAAGGGGAAATATAAGTGGGAAAGCTGGATTTTAAGGAGTTATGGGGTTATAGTTAAACATTCTGTGTCAAATCAACCCATTGGCAAACAATAGAAGTAATCATTTACATGCTCTCTCCTCTGTGTCGCAATATGTAAGTAAAACAATATGTTTCTTTAAATCACAGCTCTACGTTTGAGGTCCCTGATTGGACAGATGCCAGGTGAATTAGTCAAAACTGTGACGAAGAGCAAAGACTTCATAATGACAATCTGTCCTTTTTAACTGACACTTTCCCACTGAAAGGCCTTCCTTAAATGGCTTTTACTTTTCATAAATACAATATTATTACAGTCATGCCACCACCATCAGAACACTTAATGTATCATGACATTTGAAAAGAATAGAAAATAGAAAGGACATTATTTTAACAGCTCAAAAATAGAGAGCTTTTCAGCATGAGATCACTTAAAGTTCACTTAGACATCCATTACATATATCAAATTAGTCTGAAGAAACATTAACATTATAAAATTATTGTATTACGTATTAATATTGTTTTATAAGATAAGATGATAATAAAACATAAAATACTGTAAAGATTTGTAGATGTATAGATAGATAGATAGATAGATAGATAGATAGATAGAGTATACACACACAACACTGACTGAGTTCTCCCTAAATTCACCGCACAGTGCCATCTGCTGTTTCCACTCTACAGTTGGAGTTATTGTACCATTGTCTTACTTTTAATGGATTATACATAGCAGGCGATACCAATGTATGGAGAACAATAGTTTTTAAAAAATGAATATTAAATTGGAAAAGCTCACTATTCAAACACTATAATTACTGTTTAATTGTGTGGCATGAAATTATTTCACTGATCAAGGGTTGGCTGGCAATCAGACACGAGTGGCATGAGTTCACTAAGAGGGTGAATGATTAAAAACTCCTTGGCCTCTCAGTATGCGGTAATAATAATAATAATAATAATCCTTATTTGTAGAGCACTTTTCAAAAACAAGTTACAAAGTGCTTTAACAAGTGTAAAGAATAATACAAAAAAGATAAGAGCATGAAAATTTAATGTAAAATTAGTAAAATACAATAAAATAAAAGGGATAAAATAAAGTCAAATAAGATCGGGAAAAGCTCTCCTATAAAAGTATGTTTTAAGAAGGGACTTAAAAGAGTTCACTGACTCAGCCGACCTGATTTCCTCGGGCAGGCTGTTCCAGAGCCTCGGGGCCCTGACAGCAAACGCTCTGTCCCCTTTAGTTTTCAGTCGAGACTCTGGAACAGACAACAGACCTCTGCCCGAGGATCTCAAGGTACGTGCTGGTGCGTATGGGACTAAAAGGTCAGAAATATAACAAGGCGAGAGGCCATGAAGAGCTTTAAAAGTGATCAATAGAATTTTAAAGTCAATTCTAAAACATACTGGGAGCCAGTGTAATGAAGCTAAAATAGGAGTAATGTGGTCATATTTCTTTGTTCTGGTTAAAAGCCTGGCAGCTGAATTCTGGACAGTCTGGAGTCGATCAATAGATTTTTGGGTTAAACAGGTGAAAAGGCTGTTGCAATAATCCAGGCGTGATGAGATGAAGGCGTGTAAAATGGTCTCGTGTCCTTAAAAGTTAACATAGATCGAATTTTAGCTATATTTCTAAGTTGATAAAAACATGATTGAACAAGCTTTGTGGTGTGCTGCTCGAAATTTAAATTACTATCAAACCAAACACCAAGGTTCTTTGCCACAGGCTTAATGTGATTTACTAGGGAACCAGCAGATGGCAGTATTTGATTTGCCATCTGCTGGGACCCATGACCAGGATTTCTGTTTTGTCTGAGTTCAGCTGGAGGAAATTATTTGACATCCATTTTTTAACTTCACAAAGGCAGTTGTTAAGTGAACTCAGCATTCCAGGGTCTGTGGATCTGACGGGCAAGTATATTTGTGTGTCATCAGCATAAATATGAAAAGAAATGCCATGTTTATGGATAATATGTCCAAGGGGAAACAGATAAAAGGAAAACAAAATGGGTCCTAAGACCGACCCCTGAGGCACACCATATTTAACTGGACAGAATGAAGAGACATAGTTGTTTACAGACACGCAAAACTTCCTATTTGACAGGTAGGATGAAAACCAGAGCAGTACCAGAGATCCCAACCCAGTGCCTCAGTCTGTCTAACATGATGTTGTGATCAATGGTGTCAAAAGCAGCGCTAAGGTCCAGGAGTACAAGGACTGAGCACATACCTTCATCAGCAGACATTAAAAGGTCATTGGTGACTTTAAGCAGGGCAGTCTCAGTGCTGTGGTACTTCCTAAAACCAGACTGAAACTTTTCAAATAATTTGTTATTTTCCAGCACAGTGAGCAGCTGTTTGGACACAACCAGTAGATAGGGAGCTGTTGAAAACAGAGATCAAATGGGGCCCAACAGAATCTATTACTTTCAGTAAAAATTTTGTAGGTAACCCGGATTTGACATGTTTGAAGTCTTACTCATTGTTAAGTAAAGGGTGCAAGGTGGAAATTCACTTCCCCATTATCGTCATACCAGGGTCTCATGTTTTAAATGAAACATAAAATAAGTCTTTATCAGTGTGTGCATGAATTATTTCAATCTTTAATTTTAGTGGTACATTTAATATTCCTGGAATTTAGTGGATTCTCAAGACATTTTCATGGTACATGAACAGTATCTTGTTGTCTCACATAAAAATAACCCATAACCCAACAAATATTTCAGATGGCACTGCTCTGTGTGTCCTACCTGATACTGCCTTTTGACCACAGGTGACTCATCTGGTTTTGTTAAGGTCATCCTTGTACGAGGATATGATACGTTACGAGCCAGAGATACTCTCTAATATCCTGCTGGGGTGTGTGTGTGTGTGTGTGTGTGGGGGGGGGGACCTGACAAATACCCAAAGGAAACATTTCCAAATGTTACTTACTTGCACGGTCTCCTTATCTCTCCTCATCTATTCTCTTCCTCCAGCAATCTGTCTGTCAATACTGTCATGAAAGGGATCAGTCAAGTATGACAATTTCACACAGGCACATGCGTGGGGGCCTTACTGTGTTGAAGGACTGCTTAATTCACACTGTTGATCTTTCCAAAGGGATAAATACACTGTAATAAACTATACCAATAAATGATGTGGACTACGCCTTACAAGGGGGTATGCTGCTTTGTCAAATTCTTGTAACTGAGCAAGCGACAGGTGTTGTCTGCAGCAAAATTATTTGTCATCGTCGATCATGGCATCTTGTTTGACTTGTGTTCCTCCACAATCACTGTTTTTTTTTTGTTTGTTTGTTTGGTTTTTACTTCTGCATCATATCCTCTGTTCTGAAAACAAGGTGATGTTTAGGAAACTGCAGTGGTGCAAGTACGTGAGTATATCTTATTTGTAGCAGCACAGCGGATGTCACAATGAAATCACAATAAAAGAGGTGTCTTTGGGGTCTAATCTGCGCTAGAAGGCTTTTCTATTCTATTCTTTTCTGATTCATTGGCTCCTTATCTGCAGGTTTCCCCAGCCCCTTTGACTAAAACATTTATTGGTTAAATATACACTATAGCCAGTAGTAGAAGGTAACATTGACTACTTAGTGCTTGTACTGTAATCAATTTATGCTACAATATACTTCACAGACAAATACTATACGTTTTACTGACAACTGTACTTTCTAGTTACTTTGAAGCACAAGATTGTACATAATAAAAATGTTGGTAACAGGTTAATGCATCCGAAATATAATCCCATAATATGATATATAATAACACAATACGGTGCTTTTGATACTTTATTTGCTGACAACACCTGTGTACTTTTACTCATGTAAGAATTCTAATAGGACTTGTAACGGTATTTATTACACAGCAAAAAAGTCTGCAGAGTTAGGTGGCTTGGGGTGGATGGAAAACATACTTTAAAGCAGGACACCACTGTATGTTTCCCATTTTAAACTGTCAATGTTAAGTCGTGCTAACCCTGACTAAACAGGTCATCATTTGTGAAAAAAGTTGTATAAAGTATTTTGTGTCTCCTGATGAATTGCTTGAAGTGATGTCACTTGAGTCAGCGTGGTTGGAGTTGATGACTACAAGTGTGAAAATGAAAAACAAATCTGAGGGTGTGGAGTTTGAAAGAAGTGAAGTCTGTACACCTCCTTAGCTCTGCTTGAAGCTAGCGGCTCAAGGCTACATTAGACACTACTAGCATAACAGCCCAAATCTGTCAGTGCTTGAGTTGCATTGTGGGTAATATAGGCACTGGGTTTTGTGAAGGAAAAAGAATGCATGGCAGATAAACGACTATATGCCTGTTGTTTTTTTTAAACTATCCCTCCTGAGCTTAATAGTGTAACAGGAGAGCAATGCTAAATCGGTGGCGTACTCCTTTAAGTAGGCCTACACTTTTTTGCCATTGACTTCCATTTTCTGCTACTTTAAACTTATACTTGACTGCATTTTAGAATAAAATATAAAATTTTTTACTCCACTAGGTTTATCTGAGTCTGGATCTTAGCTGTAGTTTCTGGCTACTTCGTAGATTGTGATTTAACATTGAAAAAAAATTATCACTTTATAAAATATGATGTATTACCATTGATTAAACCGCCCAAACTAGTAAACTTGTTCAACCTCAACCATCTTCAACATTAAAATGCTTCTTACATGTTAGCTCAGTAGTAATAATTAAATCATAGTAGGCCTACCCTATGCTATAATAATATAAAGGGACTATTGTGCATGATGCATGCTTTAACTCCTGACAGCCGACTTTAAGTAGCCAACATTTTGCTGATAATACTTACAATATAAGGATTTTTCATATTCACTGGATTTGAATAGGCTACTTCTTTCACTGCCATTGCCAAGCTTTCCCTCACATGCCTGGTGAGACGGAAGCAATTACCCAATTACGTCCGTCATCGTGAAATGACGTTGACACCTCCTGCAATCACCCGGCAATCTCAGGACCAACAATAGCGAGCAATAATAATAATTAAAGGCGATGGATGATCATTTGTCATCATGACTTTCTCATCCTGGTATCGGCACCGTGGTACTTTTAAAAACACCCGCTGACGCGCAGCTGTATCAGGAGGGGCATTTAACTTTCATCAATAGTCATTTCTATCAAAGGCATCGGGAGTGAAACTTCAACAAGTCTACAACTGCAGCCCGTCCCCCTTCTGCGATATTGGTTCACAGAAATAAAACTCGACTATGGTGGAGCTTTTCTAAAGTTAGATCAAGCTGATTAATTGCAACAAAGGATTATTATACCGCTGTTTAGATCTGACATTTTCCCCTGAGAACATGGGCAGACCGTGCATATGCTTTTCATGGACTTGCAGACCGGCGTGGGCAGTTTTTATTATTCTGGCTACAATGCCTTGTGTGTTGTACTGCTCAGATAGTCCAGCAGCGGTTGTTGGCAAAATGTATCCACGCGGCAATCACTGGGCAGTAGGTAAGAGAAACTCAACATGTTTAGTAGGATGTGTAAAGAAAATTATTATTCCTTTTGAAAATTTGATTGTGCATTTGCTTAATTTATTTGTGAAATACGCTCCATGTTTGGCGATAATATTTAGATCAAATCATAGGCTATAACAAATATTTTAAACATGTTTAGAACTCCATCAAATCCTGCTCGTTTGAAAGCATATTTGCTCATTAATAACAATAATGATCAGCTCTAATAACTAATAGAGAAAAACTGAATTATTAAATTACAGCAAACAAACACACCTCTTTTAGATAAGAAAGCCGTTTCATGAGAGACATAGCCTACTAAATACATTGCATTAGGTTTTAATTTACAGTTTAATTACAGAGCCTATCGTCTCAGTGTTGTTTAAACCCCAGATGTATTCCAGTTCATTTATTCATCCCATCATGTCCAACTCCCCAGGTCATTTGATGGGGAAGAAGAGCATCGAGAGCCTGCCTGAACTGCAGGAGACAAACAGTGACTACCTCACACCCCCAGAAACAGCTGGGCCCACAGAGCCGGACCTGTACGAGCGTCTGATGGAGGCTCTGATGCAACAAAAGAACCAAAAACAGATGATGCCTCAAACTGCGGACGGGCTGTTCCGGCTGCGCAGCGGCTGGAGAGAAGAGGACAGAGACAAATATCTCAGAGAGGTCAGTTTGTGGATTGTACCTCTCCGTTATCTTATTATTGTCTAATGTCTAATCCTTCAGATGTTACCATTTAAAAAAAAACAACATTATATGGTTACATTTATTTCTCCATTTCATCACTGCATTACAGATGTCAGACCTGCTTCTTCTGGCTTTGAAACTCCAAGACAATGACTCCACCTGAATGCAAGACGAATTATGTTTGTCATCATTATCTAATAAACATATTTCCGGTAATTACATATCTTCACTTTGTTTCTGCTGTAAGAATATACTGGAAATCTAATATTTAAGCTTATCTAAGTTTATTGTCTCAGCAATTTCTAATGTGTAATTTGCATATCATGCGGGAGTTTGATTACAGCCTGACATGACAAGGTGTAGCCTACATGAGCAGAGAATGCTGAATAAATTTAACGTTGTGATAACTGCATTGTGAATGTCTAATCGTGCTTTGGACGCCACTAGTGGCCTTTCATTTAATTTTTTGGATGTGACGCTCATGAAGTTCACTCCACCTGTACAGGAACCAGTTTGTACCACCAGATGGCGCACAATATCCATTACGAGAGCATCTTTAGTGCATGTGACATTTTGAGTAATTTACCAGTAAGGTGAAGCATGAATAGTGAACATGATCATAATAACAGAAGAAAACAGATAACCAAACGCAGTTTATGCTTCATTCAGTGAGCTTTGGTGCTGTCTTTTCTCATCAGGACAACACAAACACAAAACACCCCCAAGTGTGTATTTAGGACAGTAGGATAGATGATGATGGGGACTATTATTAGCCCTCAGGGGTTGCACACAATAGGAAATGCTAATTGAAACAATTTGGTTACACACATCGTTTTTCTTAAAGCCAAAGGAAAGTTCTCTCTTCTGTCCTCTTCCCTCATTTGTCACGGATGATTGGCGAACAATAGAGGTACAAGCCACTTTCACCCCGTCATTATGAGTCTAATCCCAGGAGCGAATGGGATAAAGTTTACAGGAGCTAATGAGGAGGAAATAAGTGGGCTGACAAACTCATTCTGTAAAACAGAGGGAGGAAGTCTGGGAGTTTAAGCTTCTTCTTTATCACACTCATGCTCATTAATTAAATGACTAAATGTTATGGCTGTGTAAAACTTGAAACCATAAAGACAGTAAATGGATTTTATGATCCAAAGTTGCATTTACAGTATGATGTGGCTCTGTTTGAGTGTATTAGACTGCATTTCCAATTTTACTTAAGTATAAAATAATTATTCTTGAGAAATTACAGCTGAAAATGTCAGCAGGCTTCCCTTGATCACCCGCTTTTCATTTAGTGTTGAATTTAAGTTACTTGCTCTTTCTGAAAAATGCTTTTTTCCCAAACTGATAATGTTAGTGGAATCCACCACTGAGGGGTGCTATACTCAAATTTTACCCCAACTAATGTGGGCTGAGCTTTGACCCAGCAAACAGATCATGCTATTCTGATATATTTCTGCTATATCATTCCTGATGTACACACATATCTTCCCATTCTGTGAGACATTTCCGACATGTTTATTTGTCTCAACTGTGACAAATTGTCTTAAAACTTGATCAGCCACTATTTTGTTCAAGGATTTTACGTATAAAGTTTATTGTACAGAGAAAACATTCACATTTGTTAAAATCTTTCATTAGTGAAGATCAAAATCCAGCAGTGGAAGAAGAAATATCCAAATGAGCAGTGCTCCATTTACAAAAGTAGAATAAATACTGATGCATACTGATGGACTGGCAACATCACACTGGATAAGAATGAGACTGGGCTGAATGAATGTAAAACTTTACAGTAAAACACAGCTTGCAGAGAAGATAAAGGAGAAAAAAAACACTATATAATCAGTGTTCATTAGTTTCATATTTTTACATGAATCTCACAGTTAGTGTCACAGATTTTCAGATAGTTGCTTATAAGGGTAAAACTTTACTTTAAGTCCCCTTATTTAGCACTAATAAGCAGTATCCAAACATTTAATAGATGGGTTATAACACATTAGAATGTAGTCATACATTTATTAATGTACAGTACTTGCTAACAACATAATTTATATTATTATTTTACCATATTGTCATTCATTATCTGTGTATACAGCAGCCTCCACTTATGGGAGCTAACAGGAGGAGTTATAGTTTTTAACAAACATATATCAACTTACAACCACATTGTAGTGTGTTTACTGCTTATGAATGCTAAATAAAGGGAGTTAAAGGAAAGAGTTACCCTTATAGGTGACGAGGATGTCTCTAATCCTGGATGCCAACTGTAGATTTCCAAAGTAACAATCCCGTCAGCATGAGGATGAAGTCAGTCTTTCAAAAGATGCGGAATGATGTATTCTGGGTTTTGATGTCCGTTCTTAACCTCCACTCAGCATCACCACGTCTTCCCAATAGACTGAATATGTTCCTTGGCCTTCATCCTCAGTGAGGCAATGCTGGAGTTCCTTGGATCAGCTGAACACTGGTATGCCTGGGGCGGTGGGCATATAGAGCCCATGTGGGGCAGGTGAGGGCTATGTCCCAGCGGCGGGGAGTTGAGGAAGGAGGCCGGCAAGGAAGAGGGCATGGAGGGGGGAGGAGAAGGGGTGTAAGTGCCCGGGAGGCCCTGGGAGCCAGTGATGAAGCCCGGGAGGGACTGCAGGGAGGTGGAGGTGGTGATTGGGGTGGAGAGCCAGGGATCCAGCTGCAGACTGGAGCCCAGGGAGCTGGTGGGAGAGCGGCTGAAGGAGAGCAAGGTGGAGGTGTCTTGGAGCTTGATGGAGCCCACTTCCAGCTTCTCTTGCCGACGCCACTTGGCCCGCCGGTTTTGGAACCACACCTGAAAAAAAAGAGAAGGAATTAGTTATTTCCAGTTCAACTCAATACATCCCTGCAATGACACTATGTGCACACACAATAGACAGGAGAGAAGTGAATAAAACACTCTTAAAGCTAAAACCTATCAAAGGCTTTAAGCTTTAAAACAAACTGTAGCATTTTTAATGTATTATATAAAATATAATATTGCATGTATTTAAATGTATAGAAATGTGGAGGATGAGATATATAATGGAGGATTTTAGCTATTAAATGAAGCACTTTGCATTCAGTTGTAAAGCTATAATCAATAATTAGTGATTGTCACAAACATAATATTATAAGAAATTGATTTTAAAAAAGTTCAGTTTTGTTCAATGTCTGTGAAAAGAGCCATACCTGAAGCAAGTAAAACATTCTGTAAAAAATTTTGATCTCAGGAGCAGTTCCTCCAAAAGTCTTCACTGAGCTAAAGGATTTAAGTAACTGTGGACTTGCACAGTGAAAATGTGTGAATGATGGGCTCTTCTACTGAAAAAAAGTAATTCAGTTTTATGTTTAGAATTTCATGTCAAGTTAAATATCCATACAAATCAAGTTCTTGTGAGCAATAAATTATATTAATTATAATACTAATACGTTACAATGTGTGTCTCTAAATTTCTGATTTATCTCTTAATAAATATGTTGTCATACTGGCAGATCTACCCAGAAGAAACTTTTAATGCAAACCTATAAGGATGTCATTTTGGAAAGATTTTTTTCTTCTATTGTTGTAGACCTTTTTATTAAATATATTACAGACGTTTTTGTGTTTGTGTTGATGGAAATGCAATATGGCCATTTGTTATGCAGCCCTGCAGGCCTATGGGCCGATTATATGCGTACGCACTGAGAAAAAAGGCAATGAAAGTGGTCATATTTTGGGGACATATACCTGCACGCGGACCTCCGGCAGGTTGACTTTCAGCGCGAGCTCCTCCCTGCTGTACACGTCCGGGTAATGGGACTTTTCGAAAGCTCTCTCCAGTTCGTGAAGCTGGAAGGTGGTGAATGTTGTCCGGTTCCGACGGTGTTTCTTCTTGGGGCTTTCATCATCGGACAGCCTGCTGTCTCTGTCCGGTGAGTCCGGACAGACAGAGGCTTCAGCGGTGGTGCTGGCGCAACACACACCTGCGGAGAAACGACCGGAGTGAGGACCGAGAGAAGAGACCTGCGAGTTTCAAGTTTTAATATGTTTGTAATATGTTTCCTGAAATCAAATTCTGACGATTTCAAGTAAAACTACTCTTTTTTTCAATTTTGCCTATCAATGTGTTTATTTATTAATTTGAGGATTTTTATAGGCAGTCAATCTGCTGAACGATTAAACAGTTTGCGCAAAATTCAAAATGACACCTGACTCAAGAAAAATAATTAGCCTACTGGATGATTTTCTTGAGAAAAAAATAAACAGTGTTATATTATCTAAAGGTTTTAAAATGTTTGCACTTAAATTGACTTTGACATTTGCAGAAAACTAAATTCACTTACTGTCAAAACTTTCTGAGGAGTGACTTTTCTTCATTGGGGTCACTATAACATTCCGCTCAGCATTTTTGACCAGGACCTTTTCTGTCATGCTGTAGGAGGCTGACTTGTGATAGATGGTGTCCTCTTTAAATCCCAGTATCGCTTCTATGCTGTGGATGGTGGACGCGTTGTCCCCGAGGCTCTGGACTGAGCGTGCGGAGGGAGACACGCGCTCATCCATCATCATCATCACTTGGGAAGTTGATCCAAGAAGCCACATTGATCGGTGAAGTCCAAAAAGATGGACAAATGTACACACACTCTAACTTATTTTCAAATGTGTCGCCGCTCTTTTGTTTGGTAAAGTTGGAAGACGTCAAATCAGAGCCGAGGGCTGCGGGAAAACTTGCGCACAAGATACACACCAGTAAGACCGATCTCGCTTAGTGGATGTGGAGCATCTTCAGAGGGGGCTTTTAAAGTAGTGCCTGCTTTAAGACCCCCCCTGCCTCGTGCGGCACCCCCGCTGCACGTCAGAGAGGGGCCGTCCTGTTGGATTTGGCCCTGGATTTAGGGGCCCGGGCTGGCAGGCACAAGCGCACACCCTTCCTAACTCCTCCTCCCCATCTCAAGTGCATCAGTCAGTGCTGGCTCTAAACCTACTTACATAAATCTTAAAACCATCTTTCTACTCCTCCAGATGTCGCGTTCATGTCAGTCTGGGAAAAAAGAGGAAGATTAGGCCCACAGATTAAGGTACAACAAAATCATAATTACAAGATTTCTGGTCAGGACACGGATTGCAAAATGACAGCTTAATATTTAATCAGAGATATTGTCGCAAAACCGAATAGACATTTCACTTAGTTGAAGAATTATTTGTTTTATGAATCCAAAGGAAATATTCCATCTCCCAAGTCCGTGGGAAAGACGGGTTGGCGTCACCAACATCATTCACCGACCTGACACATGTTGAATGAAAGGAATTTAAATTTATAGGCGAATTAAAAATCAATTAGCTACATCATGCAGCCTACTAATTGGTCACAAACTTAAACCACAAGGAGTTTTTTAAACCAGTTTCTTATAGGCTTGAGTCAAAGAGGGTAACAATGCCCAAACAATAACAAATTTGGGCTATAACCACTTAACAGCAAACAAAGATTGACAGCAGTGTGGTAATCCTGCTTAAGGGGATTACATTATTTTACTCAAAGGAGTTAAAAACCCCTAAAACTATTTAGCTTTTCCTAATTACAGAAGGTGACCTTATCCTTTGTTTGAGTGAGGCAGTGGGGTGGGGGTGGAGGTCAGAGATGAGAGATGCTAACTGAGCACTGTTTTAATTAGCACCGAAATGTTGTGAGGCTGACTTTTTTATAGTCTACAGCAAAACTCTTTAAAGAAACTCTCCTTTTCTTTTGTTTACATCTGAAGATAATGATTTATGGCACACACAAACACACACAAACACACACACACACACACACACACACACACACACACACACAGAGCATGATCATTGCTTAAGCTGTATAATTTTGGAAAAGTTTGAAGTGATTCAGTTTTATTGTTAACATGTCAAATAGAGATAAGAAAAGTTTATTGTCCATTAAATGTAGGCCTACATAAAATGGAAATTTGTCTGCAGCATTCTGGCAACAAAAGAAAAACCAGACAGTACACATAAAACTTTTTTTTAAGAAGAGAAACCCATATATAAAAAATATCTAGAGATTTCTTTCTCATTAATTCAGTGCTCAGCTGCCAGTTAGCCCTGAAAATATCCCACACACAAGCTGAATGAAGCTTCAGTATAATAACCTCCAGTGTTAACAATACCGAAACTGATGAGACAACAAAGACAAAGACAAAAAATATCTTGCAAGTTTCTTAGACTTATTCAAAAGTATGTGTGGTAAAATCATCTCAGCTCAAACTTCATTTGAAAGTCTTTGTCCTTCAGTCCAAACAACTTTTCCAAATCTGAGATAGATCATGGCAGTGACCAACTATGTGCAAAGTGATCATTCTACATAAGAGTTTGAAGCTTTAAAGGAACAGTTCAACATGTTGGGAGCTATGCTTTTTTGTCTTCTTGCGTAAAGTTAGATGTGAAGATTGATGCCACTCTTGTATTTGTGTGGTGACTGTCCAAAGGTTAAAAACAATCCACCTGCCAGCACCTCTCAAGCTCATTAATTAACATTATATCTTATTTTAAGCCACACAAAAAACTAAACATAAAAATGACAATATTTTGTGTTTACAGGTTTCAGACCATTTCTGTATTGAGAGCAGTGACTCTGTTTTTGTAAAGATAAAACAAAGGCTGGTAGGTGTATTTTGTTACCTTCAGACAGAGCCAGGCTAGCTGTTTCCCCATGATTCCAGTCTTTGTGCTAAGCTAAGCTAACGGTCCATGGGCTGTAGCTTCGTATTTACCACACAGATACTGTATGAGAGTGACATTAATCTCCTCATCTGACTCTCTGCAAGAAAGCAAATAATGTCTAACTGCCCTTTTAAAGGGTGTCTTTTTGGCCAATACTTGAACCTTGCACCCCCAAAACACCACACACAAATGCAATTGTTGACTATTCAAAGAAGAATATGATGGTAAATCAACTTCCTTTCCCAAAGAAAGAAGAATGAGATATCTGGTATTGTAAGACTTTGGTTTGTTCTGTGGTATTCCCATCTGAGAGAGAGAGAGAGAGAGAGAGAGAGAGAGAGAGAGAACACTGGCTGACAACCTGGGCTATGCTGATCCTATTAGATGGTAATCTCCAGACTTTATAAATCCACATCCGTTTATACTTCGGTTCATGTACAACACCCCCCCCCCCCCCCCCCCCGCCTAACCATTGCTAACAAGTGTTTGGATAATGCCCAATTAAATTAAGACCTATTTCTTTATTCACTTATTCATTAACCCTGATTCAGGTTATTAACTGTTGCTTAATCTTAAATGTTTAATGGTTGTTCTGTGTCACTGACCATTTTGAGGATTTCAGAATGAGAAATCCAAAATCATACCCCATACAGCAACATTACAGTTAATAACAAGGTGTCTTGTTCCAGAATCAAGATCCTTGATAATTTTAATTGATCACATTTGGCTTACATATGTAGCTTAGTAAAGACATGAAGATTGAACATTTGTAAAGCTGCATTTGACGGACACATGAAGAAACAAGTTTTCCAGGAACCCAGCTTCACAACACACGCAGACTTATTTCATGTATTCAATATACATCTTTATTTGAACAATACATTTGTTTTCTCACTTCAAAGTACCTTCATTTGTTTCATCAGTATTTATGTACATGTTTTTTTTTATTTCTATGGACTAAATCATTCCATATTTTAAAATCATGAGTTGTGCAAATGTCTCTGCAAATGTTTCAGGCTCATTACGATTAAAAGGTGAATGTAAATCGACATGTCAAGATTGTCTGCTTGGTGATAACACTGAAACAAAAAAAAAATCTAAACATCATGATTAATTCACACCACATACAAAAGAAAACCCTAAAATAACCAACAGATCAAAAGGGAAGTTGAAACACTCAGACAGGATTGAATTTATAACTTAAATAAGATTTTAAGCAGTTAGATTTTAAGCAGTTATTTATTTTAGTTATTTATTTGACTGAAAATCACACTTTTAGAGACCGTACTGTCTCATGTCACAACAAACAGAGAAAAAAGTGAACACTGTGTCACAAATAATCATCATTTTAGATTTTGTGAATGTAATGTGGCCATGAGCGTGGTGTGAAAAGCAATACTTGGCTGGGGAAATCACTTTTCTATTTAATTTATCTAAAGAAAACGGGCATGAGTGAGAGTTGGGACACCCTGGTTGTCATTTAAAGTATTTTGATGATAAGTTGTAAATGACTACCCATTCAGTAACAAGCTAACAGGGAAACTTTTACACTATATACTTCAGTAGATGCAGACTGGTAGCAGTAATAATAAGTGTTGTTTTTATTACAGAAAGACAATTTGCCTTTTTAGTGCTTATAATAAAAATGAGTGCTTTGTAGGCTGTTTATAGTGAAACTGTAACCAGACTGCAGATTCACAGAAAGTGTTGAAATTCATTCTCTTGTGTTCTTCTCGTCTCCCTCCCTCTTCCTCTTCATTATTCAAAACACAGACCATTCACATGACGGAGCACTTCTCCTCTGCTTTGGTCTTCAGCTCGGTGACGGTGGCCGAGGCCTTCTCCTTCAGCTGGTCCATGTCCATGTTCTGCAAGTTTTGAAACTGGCCCATGAGGGAGTCCTTGCCCTCCTCCTCCGTGGCGTCCTCGTCCACCATCTTGAGCAGCTCCTCGGGCACATCCACGTCGTCCCCGGCCATCTCAATCATGTTCTCATCCTGCTCGCTCTGCAGACGACAACATCGGGTGGAAAACAAAGTCAGAAGCCAGAAACACAGACTTATGACAGGAGTGGATTTTACATTCAGTGTGATTATTGATATTGAAATTGACAAGTTTTTTTTACTATAAAGTAACACAATTGTCCTTATTTGGTTTGCAATATCTTCAGAACATGAAACAGGTCACGAAAGTCTTCTTTTACAAAGGGTTTTAAAAGATGATGGGTAATTAAATTGAGACATTTTTAGATTTACAGCGCTTATTCAAAAACAGTCACACATTCTTCTCTTAAATTAATTAAAGTAATAGATTAGTTTAACATAATTCTCCATAATGTCACTTCAGGTTGTATATGAACTATGTAACAGACATGATGATTATAACAATATAAAATAAGAGGTGCATGTAATGTAATCCATTAATTCAAAAATGAGATTGTCTGGCTTTGAATTCAAATTATAAGCAAGCGAACAAGCAAACTAGGGAAAAAAACAATCGGGTGAACTCCAGGATCTTAATCTCCATTCAAGTAGCTGCACTCGAGGATATTTTGCTGTCTGTGTTTTCTACATTTTTGTGAAGCAGAATCTCCTTTACTTTAATGTCCGCGCTTCATGTGCTGTTTAAAGCTTTTCCAACAAACTCAGTCTAATCACTTATAGATGCAGAATAGTCATGCAATAGGTTAGACTGTGACTACTTTAAATGTCAATCTGTGGGATTATCTCAGTCCTGCTTTAGCCTTTCCTCTCAGAACCCCAACGATAGGCTAAAGATATCTTCTATAGCATTTCACGAGACTCTAATGCCATTAGACTAACTGCACCAACTACTCATACTGTATACTTTATACTACCATTAAATATATATATATATATATATATTTTTTTTTTTTTTACTATCTCACACCTGAAAGCATGTACATCTGTCCTCACTTTTCTCCAGTGAAAGAAAATAATCAGAACAGGATCCCTTCAGGTGCCTTATTGTTGTTGAAAATCCAATTAAAATGCATATTTCAGTTCTAATGAAGACACTTAGACCTTTGTTGCTTGTTGTTTTTTTAAGCTGGCAAGAATGAAACATAATTAGATTTATATGGATAGTCTCCTGCTCATGTCCTCGTTATATATATGCGGTTTCAATTTAAAAGACAAACAATTAAAAGAAATGTGCCCATTGTTTACAGCAGAAAACTGAACAATAGAGGGTCTGTTGCATCAGACTATTAGAAAAACGCCTCCAGCAGCCAAGGTCACCACTGCATTCAGATGAATAAAAATCAGCTATAAGAAAACCTGCATTAGAAATTGATTTAGTATTTCCCATAAGAAAAAGTTCAGTACAAGCACGTTTTCACCTCCAGATTAATTTACAGGCATTGAAGACTCTCTACTGGTATTAATCTATAAATGGCTTAAATAAAACCCCAACATACCTTTTGTGCTCCTGCCATTACAGCAAATAAAATATCCTTTCAAATTGTTCGTTTTACATCCACTAAAGTAGATGTTGTTCTTTCTTAAAGTCAGTTCACACTGCCTGGTGCTCTCTAATGAGCCTGGGACACCTGCTCAGCTTTGGCTTTATAAGACTCAAGGTGCAATATGGGACACACAAGCTAACATCTCCCGGACACTGGTTGAACGTCTTTCTCACTAATCTACTGGCATGGCTTCCACCTCCTGTTGTCCAAGCTGTAGCTGCCAAGAGCTAAAGAAAACCTCAACCATGAAGCAGCTAGTTGATGCTCTGCCTGCTCAGTCAGGACACTTTAAAAGCCATTTAATAAGACTGTTGATTATAATTACCAGTCCTTATTAAAAGACTGAGAAAAGTAGTATTTAATATGATGAAAGAAAAAGGAAACTGATAAAGAAACAGCATCATAGGTAGAGTTGAAGCAATTGGTAACAATCTACTTTAAAGTCGCCTGTTTAGCATTTAGCAAGTAGTATATAAACATTTAATAAATCATTTAAAACACACTATAATGTCTTTGTAACTCCTCCTGTGTGCATCCCCAAGGGAAGGCTGCTGTATATACAGTGATGAATAATAATGAATAGTACAGTAATGAAACATTAACATTAAAAAATGTTATAATAATATGAAATATGTCTTCATAGGAGAAGTTATGGTTGTTGACAAATGTGGTACATTAATAAACACTTCTAAAAATTGCCTTATATCAGCTACATTATATTGTGTTATAAACCATATAACAAATATTCATACTGTGTAGTGCTTATAAGTGCGGGGTTTAAAGTAAAGTGTTACCTTTAAAATAATTTAAATAAAATAGGAATTACACTAGAGCTGTATAGGAATAAACGCTCCTTACCTTTGGCAGCCTGTATTTGTCTCTGAGACACACCCTGAGTGTTGCCCTCTCTGCCTTCCTGTGTAAGAAATCTGCATCCCTCTCCATCCTGAAATATAAAAAAAACATAATTAACATTGTAACCTTTGTTGTTGGTCTTGTTAGTTGAAGAACATCCCAGGTCAGTTAAAACAAAATATTAATAATTTTAATCTCTTTCCTGTAAAACATAAAGGGAAAAGCTACAAGAAAATACCAGCAAAATGGAATTTTATAACCATGTGTTTGCGCCTGTCTTGTTTGCCATCTGTGTCTCAACGGCTCAAGAGAAGCATAATAGATTTTTTCAGCATTTGGATTTTCATAACAAAAATTGTTTCTTCTCAATGGCTCAGTCTGTATTGCTTTTACTGTATCTTAATCCAGAATGGTACACACATCCACATCAGATAACAAACAACAGAGACAGTCTAGCTCAACACAACATCCTCCAGTTCACCTGAATATCATTAATACAGGAGATCATGTCTGCAAAAAAAGATTTCAGTTTAACCAATGAGGTGACAACTAAGATTCAGATTCATAAAGAAAACATTAAAAATATATTTTTAAAAGAAAGTAAGGTTTTGTATACAAAAATAGGTGTATCGTCATTGGCTTTTCATTCAAGATTAACTAATATTAACCTCCCAAAACTGCTGTAAACATATTTTTTAAAACTTACATGCTAGATACACAAACTGGGTTTTGTTGTCTACTTATATGACTGTTATAAACATTGACTCTATTTTACTTTTGGATAAACGTATCTGGCAACAATCCAAAACATGTAGCATTTGGTTCGACATTCAGTTTGAGTTTGAACAAGGTTATATGCAGTTTTGGTAAATATATAATATTACTTAGATCTGAAATCCCCTAAATTGTTTTGGCATAGTAATATAATGATGATGAATAATGTACTTTCAGTTATTCCAGTGTTAGTTTACTTGCTTTAGATCCATTCATTTAGAAAATACACCAAAGCTGTATTCTGTGTTAGGCATTAAATTTGATTTAAGGTAATAATTCAACATTCATTACACATGAGTTTACCAGCAGCCTGCACTTTTTCAGACCCTGCATTTTCAAGGCCAGACTTTCCCTCAGCTAATTAAAGGTGGGATTATTAGGCCAGACTGAGTCCAGCAGATTTGCAATCAAGCCAAGACGCCGCAACTTGAACTGTAGTGAAACAACAAACAAACACAGAATAACACAGTCGACTTAGGTATCTAACAAAACCATAATGAAACTATACATTCATTAAAATTCTTGATCTGGCCGGATCAGGAAATCTGAATACATTACTAAAGACCTATAATCAATCATTTGATGTCATCTTCCAAATAGTCATTTTCCAAACATGAGAGGGAAGAGGATGCATTCATCTTGTTATGTAATACAGGCCGACCTGAATCTGCGGGATGCTGCAAAATCTACTTTGTATCACAGAGTTGCAAATTCCAGATTTGTCTCATTTTTAAAAGAAAATATAATTTGCTTTACAACTGAATTTAGAGTGGATTAATCACATTGTTGCTAAGTGTACATTTTATTATTTCCATGTCTGATATAGTGAAAGAAACTGGAACTTTATTTTATTTTATTTAAGACAAACTGATCATAATACACTATGGACAACAACACTGTGGTGGACCAAACCAAGCTACCTGCAGCTCATATTACTGTAGAGTTTTAAAAGTTTAAAAAAAATAAATTCAGAAGATATTCCAGAGACAAGAAAAGAAGAGTGACTCTCCTCCGAAGCAGACTCAGGCAACCTCATATGACAAATAAATGAATGTTATTTTGCTTGTGATTGTGAATGATTTCCCTGCTGCATGAGCACAGATCCTTAACCACGTGATTTTTAGTGTTTCCTCATAACTATTGCAACATTTACTGCCCTGAAGTCCATGTTTTGGAGGTGTGATAAAACAGCTGTTTTACATTTGCTTACTCAGCTGTATTCAAAACTAGAAAGGACCTCAAAATGTTACCCCTAACTGCTCATGATGCATAAACAGATTATGGGAGATTATTGATCCAGGCCCAGCATGACCTTTAGCCTCAGTGTGTGGAAAATTCTGGAAAAAAAGAAAAGATCCTCTTGTGCTATCTCTGCTGTGACCTTCAGCAACAGATGCATCTCTAAGAAACAGCTTGCTAGTTGTGAACTCATAAAAATGATAAATACATGTTTACATTTTTTTAGGCTTTGAGTAAAATAAAATATATGGATAAATGTAATGGAAAAGAGGGAAAAGGTAAGAAATGAAGGGTTGTATGCTTGTCAAGGTCAGATTGTACATTCTGCAGCCATAATGTTTTCAATGGGCCAATGGCATCAATATAAAGTGGAGTACTGTCCATGTTGCTACTTACTTCTCCTCCACCACCTGTTTTTGGTACTCTTCATACTCCTCCCGTGTCATCCCTGCTGCTTTGGCTGGATCTGAGGGGGTGGCCTCCTCTTCTTTGTCACCTCCACCACCAAGACCTATTCCTGACAGGGGGTTCCCAATCATGCTCTTGATCAAGAAAGCCATCTTGAGTTTTGTGAGGGTTTACTCTGCAACGATGAGAAGGTTTTTTTCGTAGGTGAAACTGATGCTGCTCCCCTTTATGGTGTCCGATTCGCCTTCCTATAGCTGTCAAATCCAGTGGTAGCTCTCTAGCTAACCTGCTGCTTGACTATGGAGCCAAGGACACACTGACGACAAGCAACAGACACACACACACACACACACACAAACACACACACAACGTTTTGCTTTGGCCATAATCTGGATTTAATCCTCCCTGCTCCACTATGCTAAGAGGCAGATGGCCTGTTTTCTTTCTATTTTTAAATCATGCAGACCTTTGTAGATGTTTCTCTTTATTAATTTTGACACTTTGTTCATTCTTTGGAGGAATGAGGTGCAGCGCTCATCGTAAAAATGGTTTTGGAGATGGGTGTCCTCAGTTTGGGAACACATATGCTGCTTCCGCCCACTAGTGCGTAATCATATTAGTAAAGTACGGGCCGGCTCGTGCGCAGCTTATTCTGCTGAGACCAAGCAGAGAGAGAGAGAGAGAGAGAGAGAGGAGCAGGATTAGAGTCTTGTTTATCCCCCAGTGGAGCAATCGTTCATGCCGTGCTATTGTTCAGTGGGAGGATGATTGACACAGGAGGATGAGAGGTGGAGAGGAGACAGCTCTCATGTCATCCCACGACTCCATCACAATCTGCAAGCTTGGCGAAGCACGTAGATTTACCCCAGTATTGAAACATTTCAGAAATGCTCATCTTCAATCAAATATGTCTTGCAATAACTTTGGTTATGTTACATGTAAATGCATGTTTTTCTCTTTAAGATAACTCCTTTTACACTACAATGCTCTTTCCTTCAACTCTTAGGGGTTTGATTATTGAGTATAGAGAAAAATAAAGTATATATTACTGAGATAATTTGATTGCGCAGTCAACAGGAAATGTGGGGAATATATGAGAAGAATGACATGCAGCATAGATTTGAACCTTACAGGTAATTCATCTTAGATCGTTAGGCCCACATTTTTTTTAATTATTTGACAGTGAAATGCATAATTTAAATAACCATCTATTCCATCCACTGTACCTGCCTAGTACCGGGCTACAGGATTGACAAACAGTTCTGTGTTTTTCACTGAAGGAAAGCCTCAGTGTCTTAATAATCTCTGATAAGCTTTCAGGTTTCCTTTGGCTGGTTATATACAGCATATTGCCACAATTCACAGCACCACTTCATAATAATTCCTAATAAAATTAATGCCATTTCCAGTGGTGGACAGTAATTTAGTACATTTACTCAAGTACTGTACTTAAGTACAAATTTAAGGTACTTGTACTTTACTTGAGTATTTTCTTTTCATGGCACTTTTTACTTCTGCACCACTACATCCCAGAGAGAGATATTGTACTTTTTACTTCACATTTATATGATAGTTTTAGTTACTAATAACATTACAAAGTAAGATTTTTACTAAAAAAACTGTTTTTAAAAAATTATCTTTTGTGATAAATTAAAGTACCCAACAGTTTATAAAAGTACAGCTGACACGATTATTAGATGGAAACTAAAATTAACTGGCAACAACTTTGATTGTTTAAGACATTTTTCCATTACAAAGGTGAAGATTTGCTGCTTTTCCCTTTAATTATTTTAAGTTATTTGTAATGAACTAATCTAAGAACCTTCATAATAGTGTAGCAGTCACAGGACATTTATTTTCTGCAATGAGCATTTTTTTAATATATACTTTACTATATATACTTTTAATTAAAGGAGTAAAGAACCTGAATGCATCGTTCATCACTGACACACACACACACACACACACACACACACACAAACACACAACAGGGCAACCTGTTTATGATGAATGCCATTGTTTAATAAATAGTTTATCTACTGTATTTTTAAATTAGTCATTGGCCTAGTCATGTCACCAACCAATGACAAACATAACCATGCTAATAGCAGCCTACATTTTACTTTTGATACTTTGACAAGGGTATTTGTGCATTTACTTTAAATACAGGATGTGTACTTCATCCATCACTGTTTATTGTCAGCTGAGCAAAAACTGAATGTTTGATGGCAATGTCAGTTGGTTGGTCTGTCTGTCTACCACTTTGGCCCAGATTCATATACCTCAGCAACAAGTGGATTTCCATGTAATTTAGTACAGACATTCATGTTCCCCAGAGGTTGAATCCTACTGAGATAGCACCACCATGAGGTTGACATTTCTGGCAATTAGTGAAATGCCTCAACCATTATTGGATTGATTGTCATCAAATCTGGTTCAGACATTTCTGTTCCATTTCCCTCAGGATGACTTGTAAAAGTTTGGTGCCCAAGATTTTAATTTGTCTAATACTTTGCCTTATATTTATTAAATATTTAGGGACCGAGCGCGAACAAGTTTAGCAGCTCTCAGCCGGCCAGCAGATTTTCAATCCCCCGCTCTGCCTGGCCTTCTCCACACGCTCTGAAACCTCGGAGACATACGAAGCGACGCTTAGCGCCGCCCGACAGGAAATCGCAGCTCTACTTGTCTTTGCATTGACTTTGTATGTAAACTCACCACCCCCGACGATTGCTTCACTTTTGGTCTGAAAGCACCATTATAAGTCATGCAAAGCAGAAACACTATGCTACTGGCTAGGTTTTTGACATGGTATTTTTATTAAAATATTCTGTACTTTGCAAATAACACTTATCTGCCTACACTTGTACTGTGCATGTCGCTGTTTACATTGCAACGACTCCCAGTTTGTTTTCTGACGCCACACTCCCATGTTAAATTCAGTAGCAGTCCCAGGTCATTATTGGTGCATGCACCTGATTCTTTGTCTGTATTTAATCTTTCACCAAATCTTCTGTAACTATGAACTAACATCTGCTTCATGTTTACATCGGCACGCGCATACCCAGTGTACCTGAGAGGCCACTAACTGTGTGTTTTCAGTTGCTTTAATGTAGAAGGAGATCAACTCCAAAACGCAGCTAAAACGCTGGTGTGGACGGAGATCGTATTCGTTTTAATTCTCCGTTTGTAAACTAAAACAGAGTGTGGATGGGGCCTAAAACTTAAACACTGAACCTTTAAAATAAAGTGCTACCACTGAGGGCCCCTACCTATAATTGCAAATCCTTGGGGTTAAAACTTGACTGTACACAGAAATTACAAATAAATAATTAAATGTAGGCGCAAGCGGCAATGATCGGGATCCAAGCAAGTTGTGAAAAACGAAACATCTGACATTTTCAGAGGAGAAGAAGAGATGCAGATGACTTGAGAGATTAAAGTGATGAAAGAATTTGGCCTTTGAGATAATTGCAGAAACACAAATTTGATTTTTACAGCATAGCCTTGAGATCAGAGAGTGTCATTATATGTACCTGACTACTGGGTGAAATGTTCAACTCATTTTCCCAAGATTTAAAGTTTAAGCTGCACAAACACTTTCAGGCAGAGAAAATCACTCGATCCAAATAAAATAGAGATCTGAACAACCCTTATGGTCAGCAAGTCTCACGGTTACCTGGGGATTTGAACCCTGGATCTGCAGAGTAGGTGACTTACTGACTGAGCTACTCCTCATTAGAGAGGCCATTTTTACACATCACCTCACAAGTTGAGGTAGTGATGTCACATGTACCATACCTGGATAGTTTTGTCAGGTTAAACTTAAACAGCTTACAACAGTCAAGATGTTGGTATGAAAATTCTGAAAAAAAATCACAAATCATTCTGCTGGTTTTGTGTGTGTTGTCAATTAGTTTGGTGGTATTTGTTAGAAAACAACAAAAAGTTGTTCATACTGTACAAGTTACAGCAAGATTTTGAAGATCACTGCAGACTCACCATTTGACCGATCTTAAAAACCCTTTGAGACACAATGTCTGTGTTGATTTTGGTAGCATTTGAAGAAAGACTTGAATTAACATATTCTGAAAAATGTAGAGTGACTGACTTCTGAGATGATCATAGGTTGCAGTGAGGCAAACATTTGTCACATATCCATGGATGTGTGGACACATACGGATGTACACATACTAGGACATACGGGTGATTCTTAGATTTTTTGATGTTTGGAATGAGAAATGTTTTGAAATTTACATTTCTTGTAATAAGCCACGCCCACTTTGCGCAATTATTACCAAATTTTATACATCAACTGCATAGTCACGCTAGATTGTACAAACCAAATTTTGTACGAATCCATCCTGCGAATTACGAGGTATAAACTTTTTTCAAGTGTAGCACCCCCTAGTGTATGTAGTGTTATGTAAAATTGTAGGTAAAGACACAAAAATAAAAATGTATGAAAAAAAAATGGATTGACGTATCAAAATTCTTTTGATAACTTTGACCAGCTATGTCCATAGATTATCCTGACAAAGTTTCAGATCAATTGGCGACATCTAGGATGAGTTTGCAAAACTAGGTTTTTGAGAAAAGTGATAAAAAGTCACATACTTTGACATTTTTAGAGCAGAAGACCATTGAAGCAAAGATGCAGAGATCCAGAGATTAAAATGATGAAAAAGGTTTTACTCTAAACAAAGCTGTTTGAGATAATTGCCAAAAACGTAAAGTTGATCGTTATAGTGCCACCATGAGGGCCATTTTTTTTGCCTGAGTAGTGGGTGAAATTTGCAACCTACGTGCCAATTTTGGTGAGTTTTCCAGCAGTTTTTGCTGCCCAAACACTTCAGAAAGAAAGAAAGAATTTATTATTGCCTTTATGTCACCATTTGATCCATTAGATATACTGTGTTATCGTCAAATCACTTGGCTGCTCTTTTTTCTACAATTTTACTTTTGTGTAAATATGAATTCCAAACTACAAATCTTTGAACTGTAGCTTCTAACTGGAATAAACTGTAATCATGAGAGATTCATATAAGATAAATATTATTCAATGAAGATGCATCCTGTGTGGAGTGTATCTCACGTGATGAAATAAGCAGACATCACAGAGTGATTTGTGTTTTCTGTTTATGTAAATTGTTCAGGTAGAGGATATGTCAGATTCTGACATGTTTGACTTAATCAGAACAGATAAACAGAAGCAGACATCTGCTCTGAGTTTTCATCACCAATAGTTCAGCATTATTTTATACAAAATT